TATATATATATATATATATATATATGTATATGATCATCAAATTTTAATAAAATTATGTACATTTTGAACCCATAATGTTAGTTGTATAGTGGATTTAGTGGTAAAAATTATAAGAATTAAACTCAACAAATTAAAATTTGAATCCGTCTTTAGTGGGAGAGGGGGAAAACTAGAAGGGAATGTTGCGCTACCGATGTCCGATGAGGTTTGAACCTCTATCTCAATGTGAAAGACATGAAACTCACCAAGTAAGCTAGTGCTCAATCCCGTTTAATTTCCACAATATTCAATTAAATATACATTTTTTAAAAAGGAACGCACTAGTTTGATGCTTAAGTACATTTGCATTGTGGAATTGATAATTTACTTTTATTTCCTCTATATATTATGAAGAAAAAGGGTGAATAAATTAATTAAATATCGAAAAGTAGGGACACTGAAATAATGAGAAGTAAGTGCTCTTTCTCAGGCTTTAGCATCCAATTGATGGCAAAATTCTTTGTGTCCGTTAGGTTACACGCAACAATATGATACGGAAGATTTTAATTTATTGATTTTGTTAGTATGTTTCTTTTGTATGATAGCTCAAGCAACCCATTTATAATTTGTATTATTTGATAAATCTTTAAACAACTGTGGTAATAGTAATTCAATAATACCCATAAGATATTTTCAAATTAGTCCTAAAAATTCACAATAAGGTGTATGAGGGAGTGTGTGGCATAATTTTATCATTTATTGAGCTAGTTAAATGAGATCGATCAAATATATTATTCAATAATATTTAATATAATTTTTAAAAATTATGTATTAATTTATATGAACTATACGTGCAACGTGCATACCGAGATAAGAAAAAAATGAAAGAACACGCACATATTATTCAGTAGAAAACAAAACACGTAATATACAACTATGTGTATGTGTATCTGTATTTTGTATTGGCAGTATTTGCAGCAGTGACCTATGCTATATGGAGAGCAAGAAATGATTAGAATCTGAAAGTTCCTAGAACCTGCAGAGTGGTAGCACAAGTCAATTAACAAGAATTCAAATTTAAGGTTTTAGAGATATTATACAGTAAGATTTTTCTTTCACAAAAAAAAAAAAAAAAAAAAAAAAAAAGGAAGCTATATATGTGTGTATGTGTATCATAGACCTTTCTACGCAATCAATCTTGTTTATTGTTAATTTTAATACAAAGTTATCAGAATATCAACTACTAATCCATTTTGGAGAGGTTGATTTAAGTAAACATTATGGGTGTGTTTGCTGCGAAGAAAAATATTTTTCAATTTTTTCATATTTGGTTGGTTTAAACATTTTGGAAAACATTTTTCTTATGAACTCATTTTCCTCCAATTGGAAGAAAATGTTTTCCTTATCAAGAGAAGGGAAAACATTTTCCAAAATCCTTCTCAACCTTCCCCACCCCATTCCCTCTCCAAAAAAAGGTTTTTTCCAAATTTCAGTTTTTCCGTTATCACCCACCCTACTACCCCTCCAACCCCCCATCCGCACACAA